TTACTTTTCATTTTTTAAAAATAAAATGAAGTGGTTAAAAATACTAGTTTCTGATATTCCAAGAAATTTGATGACAAGCTTTGGACCTAAATAAATTGTAAGTTATCAATGAATATTTGGGCCAAATTTCTGTAGTTTGTGGTTAAAAGACAGAGAGGACAAATTGGCCTAGGCATACACATGGGGCACTTCTCAGTTTGTTCAGCAACCTGTCATTTAGATTTGCAACCTTTGCTTCTTTAGTTTGTTGCAAGCAGCTCTTTTGTACTTTTCAATGATTACTGCATTGATTCTGTTTCCACTCACAACATTCCTGAATTTGTTGAAAAAAAATTCTATTCACTATCAAGGTTTTGCATTTAAGTTTCCTTTAGTTCAAGAGCTATTTCTGTGCCAGAGATAGAATAATCAGGATGACAGTCTCTCTACTCACACACAGCTTGCAACCAGCTTGTCAGTTATAGCTGCGCTAGAAAAACTCCATGTTTTAAGTGAACAAAGAAATTGACCTTAGGCATTCCTGTAGCTTTTTGACAATGAGTATTTAAAAATCTTTTTTGCTTAATTATAAATACTGTCTGCTTATTACAAAAGCATTATGTGTTCATTTCATTAAAAATTCAAAGAGTAAAAAACAATCCATTCGTTTTCTATTACCCAGGTACAACCACTTAGGACATCTTGCCATCTTGCCAGAACATTTTTATCCTATAACATCAAAAATGCATCTAAAAATGCTACTTCATAATCCTTTCCATTTATTTAAAATAGCAATTTTTTAAAAAGGTTTATTTATTTATTCATACAGAACTGGGATACAGGCCATAGATGCGGAGGGTGAGAGGATTCACCAGAGACAGATTGGGGAGCAGAACAGGCAGATTGACGAAGCACACTGCTGAGGGGAACAGCGGGTGGGTCAGGAGAGGTCTTGCTGCGCCATGTGGATCTCCTCCAGGGTAGGCGGGCATCCAACTAATGTGGAAATGGCTTAAGCTTCTTTTTGCAGTGCTTTAATCCGCTGTGCAACGATGGAGGGCCCTAAAATAGCAATTTTTAATAATGTCCTTGAAATTGAACACTTCTATAGCATAATTGAAAGGCTGAGGGTACAAATGTTTATACATGATATTTATTTTTCACTTTTTTGAGGCACTTAAAATAGATTTTCCCTTATTTTGAAGGAGTAAATAAACCAAAAACATTGTCATTTATAAATCTCATCTATGAAATTATATTTCTGAGACAAAAAGTTAAAAAGAGGCAAATGATGCTTGGAAAAAGAGAAAGACAAATACTATCAGATTTTACTCACAAGTGGAAGAGAAAGAAACAAAGCAAACAAAATAAAAACAAACCTTTAGATACTGAGAAGAGAATGGATGTTACCAGAATGAAAAGGGTGAAGGGTTGGCAAAATGGGTAGAGAGGTCTGATTGGATGCCAGTGGATGGTAATTAGACCTTTGCTGGTAGGTATGCTGTGGTACTCTTACCTATAGAATCAACTTCAGTTCTTTGTTCCTACTTAACAGCAAAAGTTGTACATCCATAGACATGAAATGTAAAATTATGCTTACAGCTAGCAAGTAGTTTTGAAGGTTGATAAGACAGCAGATCTTAAACATTCTTATCAAAAGTAGAATAAAAAATTTGTAATTATGGGAGGGATGGATGATAAATATAATTACTGTGGTTATCATTTTGTAATATATATGCATATCAAATCCTTATGGTGTGCACTTAAAATATACATGACATTATATGCCAACTGTAAAAAAAAATGGTGTATGAAGGAGAACAAAATCTGAATTATTCAACACTAACTTCAATAGAAGGGAATTTGTATCATCACTTATTTTAACTTCCTTTGTTTCTTCTGTATTAAAAAAACCCCATAAAACAGAAAAGGATGTTAGATAGTGTCCTCATGTCCTCACTTCCCTACCCATAGAATCCACCTCAGATCTTAGTCCCCACTTACCAATGGTACTGCAAGGTCTCAGATAAAATATACAACATGATGATTGTAGTTAACTAGCAGATTTGAAAGTTGTTAATAGATCTTACAAGCTATCAGTATAAGTAACTTAACTTTGTCACTATGCAATATGTAGATGATAACTATACTCTATGGTAGTCAGTATGAAAGACATGCACATGTGCAATACATATACACAACACTGCACATTTAAAATGTATATGATATTGTTTATCAGTTGTCTCAAAAAATCTGTATGTGTGGGAAGGGAACTAAACAAAATCTAAGATCAATGTTGACTTCCATTGGAATGGGTTTCTTTTTTCTTCTTTTTTGTGTGTATATGTGCATCATCACTTATGTTTCTCTTTGCTAAGCAATCAGTGTAAAAGAAAAACAAGAAGTCAAAACAAAATTATGTTAAAAAGAATCTGTCTATTACCCATAAAAATCAGAATCAGATCCCACTTGACAACATAAGCTGTAAGGTCAAGACATAATACACTACCTGATGACTGTAATAATAGCAAATTTGAAGGTTGTTAGTGGATATATCTTAAGCATTCTCATCGAAAGTAAAATAGAAGTTTGAAATTATATGAGGGGTGGATGGTAACTATTATGACAATAATTTTTCTATGTACATATACATATCAAATCTTTATTGTGTGCACTTAAAATTTATGTGATGTTATATGATGTTTGTTTCAATCTATGGTATGTGAGAGATACCAAAATCAGAGGTCAATGCTAAATTCAGTAAGGAGAGATTTTTGTTGTCATGACTTACCTTTCTCTTCCTTTATTTCCTCTGCATGGAAAAATCACAGAGAAGTAAAACACAATTTATTTAGTCAGTGTCTTTCTCTCTTTAATCACAGACACAAACAAACGCCTGAAATCTTGGTTCCCACTTGATAACAGATGTGAGAGGCAAGCCCTAATTTTAAACATGTTGACTGTAATTAACAAGCAAATTTGAAAGATGCTATAGAGTAGATCTTACAAATTTCTCTTATGGAAATTATTTTGCAACACACATACATATAAGGCTTTATGCTGTACATTCCAAATATATTCACATATATATTAATTGTCTCCACAGAACTCTGTTGGTGGGGGGGGTAAGAGGGAGGAGGGTCTTGGGTCCCAGCCGGGATGAGCCTCCCCAACCACCCCCGGAGATTAAGCACAAGATCATAATAGGAAGAAGACATCTTGCCACCTGTGTGAGTGGCTTAACCTTTGGGCAACTGATTCATATCCACCCTGATCGCAGTAGCACATGTGAGGGAGATTTCCTCCTGCCCCCAGGCCAACATCCTGGGATTAAGGGTATAAAAGGGAGGCTGGAAAGGATAATAAGGGAGAGAGAACGTTTTGCCACAACCATCCATGTGTGCTGACTCTTCAACCTCGACATCCCCCTTGCAGACTTGTATCCCTGCCGTGCGGGCACGGCAGGAGGTAGTAGAGGGAAGAGCAATGTGAACCAAATTTGAGATCCATGCTGAACTCAGAGTGGATTTTTTTTTTTGTATATTACTTATGATTCTCTCTCCATAACTGTTCTGTATGGTAAACAACAACAAATCTGACACAAGCTATGCAACATCTATCGACTGACAGATTCCGGGTAGATCAGGAAAATCTCTGAAAAATCAGAATCTCTCCACAGCTAACTTATGTTATGACCTCCCTTTTTTGTATAATCATAATATCAGAATATTCTGAGGAACCATCAGTTTACAACTGGATTGTCTTAGCCTCATAAGGTGGCTGAATGGTCAGGTAAATTGCCCCAGGGTGAGAAATCCCTCTGTCTCCTGAGACAGAAGGCAAGCCCCAGGAGGGATAAGACCCCAGGGCATGAAAACTCCTGGGAAGCTTCCTTGGTTTCTTTGAATAAAAAGGCAAACCTCAGATAAAAGTCCCAGTGCATAAGGACTCATGGACAAATTTTGGCTTTGATTACACAGGTGTTGTTTGATACACAACTGTTATAACTTTCTCTTGATTTGCTCCTTTTAAAAACAAGCACTGGCTGCTCTCTGCTGGCCTTGGATTAGCCATTAGTTTTTCTTTGGACAATCACTGCTAACACTGCTAACAAAATTCACCCCAAGACCCCAATAACGTTTTGCTAATGAGCTCATCCCTTCCCAGACCCCTCATCCTTTGAGTGATAGCTGGACAGCTGTACACATGACAAGAAAATATAATCTAGTGTACCATAATATGTTAAGAGAGGAATGCTTTGTTACTCTTGTCCTTCAGAATGTTTTATGGCAATCTCTCATTAGTTTGCCCTATGCATTATTGCAATTGGCTACTTGTTACACAGAATAAATAAAGACCTGCTGAGGAAATGGCAGGAAGACTTGCACCCAACCCTGACTCCAGGGTCTTCCTCGAACCTGTTCTTCTCTGCACTTTTGGAATCTCTGCTCGCCAATGCCTTCCGACCTTAGGGCCCTACTTGTCTTGCTTCCAGACACCTCGAGAGTTGGAGCTGGTCTCCAAAACAAATCATTTTGCAATATATATCCCTAAAAGTCTTTAGGATGTATCCTTAAATTAATATGATGGTATATGTGAACAGTCTCATACATTCAAAATGCTGTGTGCAAGAAAACAGAATCTGAGGTCAATACTAAGTTCAGTAGTGGTAGGTTTTGTTGTCATCACTTAACTCTGTTGCTTTATTTGTTCTGTATGAAAAAACCAAAGAAACACCACAAAAGCACATTAGTTAGTGTTTCCCTCTCCCTACCCACAGAGAATCTACTTCAGATCTTGGTCCCATTTGACAATAGATACTGAAAACTACAGATATCTGTACAGCATAATAGAGATAATGTGCAAATTTGAAGATAGACCGCAATCATTCTCACCAAAGTAAATAAGGTTATATAATATATGAGAGAAGGATGGTAGCTATTCCTTTGTGATAATCACACTGCAACTCACATATCAAATTTATATGGTGTACATTTAAAATTTATACATTATGTATCAATTATTCCAATAGTACTCTGTGTATGAGTGGATTAGGGTGATGAACAATATCTGAGATTAATGCTTAACTTAATCAGAGAGGGGTTTTTGCACATCATTTACCTTTCTCTCGACGTAAGTAATCTGTATAAAGAAAACACAAAAATCAAAACAAATGGGTGTCAGTGTCTTCTACATACCCATAGAAAACCCACTTCAGATCTTGACAGTTCCTGACAGAACTGTCAGGATACACATATGTATCAGTTGTCTCCACAGAACTGTGTTGGTGGGAAGGCAGTAAGGAGGGAGCAGAGGGAAGAGCAATGTGAACCGAATCTGAGACCCATGCTGGATTTATC